GCAGGATTTTACCTGCCAGCAATGGTGCCTTGCCAGGCCAAAAACAGCTGGCAGGGGTGCAAAAAAGGGGGGTCAAAATTCCTCCAAAAATCATACCTGGCCCCTAACCCTGGCAGGCACATGGAAGGCACCCTGATATGCTCAGCAGGCCCAGGAGCACTGCCTGGTCCTCCCTGGCCCTGCTCAGGCCACCAGGATGGGCCCTGGCTGCAGCCTGGCCAGGTGCAAATTCAGGGTAGAACATTGCAAAACTGCCTGCCAGCCTAGCGCAGCCATCTGGGAGCAGATCAGGCCCATCTTAGGGTATGTTGTAGCCCTGGGACAGGTGCCCATCCCTGACATTTTTGCAGGATTTTACCTGCCAGCAATGGTGCCTTGCCAGGCCAAAAACAGCTGGGAGGGGTGCAAAAAAGGGGGGTCAAAATTCACTCAAAAATCATGCCTGGCACCAGACACCAGCAGATGGCTTGCAAGGCTTAAGGCTCTGCTCAGCAGGCCTAGTAGCGTTGCCTGGCAGAAAGGGGGCAACTTGATGTTCCTTAAAAAATCACAGCTGGCCTGCAAGCCCAGCAGATGGCCTTAAAGGCTTTTTGAGATATGCAATACACCTTGAAGCTAAGTGAGCCCTGCAGAGATGCTTTTGAGTGATCACAGTTGAATGGAAGAATTGAAGTGGTCAGAGAGGAAAGGGATGCAGGACCAAAGTTGATGCATGTTGAGCAGGACTGAAAATGTGCCAGACCTCAAGATAGAAGGGTTTTGGGTTATTTGACCATGCATTTTCTTGGCGTGAAAATTTCAAAATCTCGGTCTTGCGGGTCGAGATGGATGCGCGCGGAAATAGGTGCCTGCGCCTCTGCAACCCACAGGCACACACGCACGACGGCTGTTCGAGACGGTTCAGGCGATGCGGTACGGTACTCTCACGATTTCTTTGCAGGATCGCCGAACCGATGCGGTACATGAGCGACGAAACGAGGAAACGGTGCTGGAACGACGGGACGCCGCGGGCACGACCTCGTCTGCTCGCTGTCACGTCGCGCTGTGGCGTCGGAGTGCGCACGCAAGACCCAGGACTCCGCCAGGCACTCGAGGCCGATGGACCATCGGTCAACGGTGCGTGCCAACAGCCGTGACGCCAGCGCGCGATGGACGACGGCCAGATAGTACCGCGGTGCCGACGGACAGGATGTCGAGGAGCCGCTGGCGGAAACGGCGTCAGTCGGGGCGTCGGGTCGGGCGTGTTGGCGCGTTCGGCAGAGAACGAGAAGCCGGAGGTCGTGGTCGGGCGAGGAAACATGCGGGCGATGGTCACGGCGAAGGAGCGGGGAATGCGAAGCGGGACTCAACTGAGGATGTGCGGGAGCGTTGGACGTGCGTGCGTGTCGGCGGTGAAGATGCTGGCGGACGGGCGAAGGACGCTGAAGGTTGGCGAGTCGGCGGAGGCGATGTCGGGAATGCAGAGGTCGGAAAAGGGGCGATGTCGGGCAAGGTCGCCGCAACGATGATGCCGAGAGGCCGCTGGCTTCAACAGAAGCTGCGAGGACCTAGGAGGACCCGCTGTCGTGCGGCTCGACGGCCGATGCGTTGACGTAGTCTGCGACGGGAAGCGGTGCGACGACAGAGGAGAGGGTCAAACAAAGCGCAGAGGATGCCGATCGGGGAGTGACATTTGGCGGGGAGGGGTACCGGCGACACCAACAACGGCAAGAAAGCTCAGTGATTTCCGTGTCGCGGCGAGCGACGCTGTTTCAGGGCTCACCTCGGACGTGGGCCATGCGGCAGCCTTCGACGTCACAGGTCGCGCCTCCGGCTTCGGTCGTGCACCACCTCTTCGCGGTCGGAAGGCCGGACGAGTCGGACTGCGCGGCGGCCACAGGCTCAGCGGCGGCCTCGTTGGGCCTAGCACCGGAGAGCGATCGGAAACTCGGGAAGCGTGCAAAGGGAGAAATGTAAGTCTTGAAACGCTCGGTCATCTGTTGTGATCCAAGAGGGAGAAGCAGAGAACGCAGATGGGGGTTCAGGAGCGACGATGTTTAGTAGGTCAGGCGGGCCGTCCGAACGCGTTGGTGCTGATGGTGGTCGTCTCAGGTCGATGCGCCCCGGACTGCCCGGCTCTGAGCCGCAAAGAGAAGCAGAGCGCGCGAGGACCTGGCCACGGAAAGCGAAACGGGCGCCTCCTGGAGCCGTGGTGGTGACGCACGTTCTGCAATAGGGTCGAAGTGTAGGCGGCCGGCGATGTCGCGACAACTGGCTCGAGGTCTGACGTCTGGGCGGGCGCCGATGGCGGGAGCAAGCGATTTGGTTGGTCCTGTGGAGGGCAAGGGGAGAGCGAGGGCCTCGCTCAGCAGGCAGTAGAAAATGTCGTCGGTGAGATCGGCCGAGCGCGAGTCGGGTCTGTCACGAACCTGTGAGGATACTTCGGCAGCGCCTGTTGCTGTGATGGGCGGCGTGTCGGCGAGGGTCGCAGCATTGTCCTCTTTCGGCGCCGGGATGCTGCCTGCCGCGATCGTCGAGGATGTTGAGGGCTCGAGCTGCGCGGGGGGAGAATGGGAAAGAGCGCCCGCGTTGCGGGCATCGCCGTTGACTGGCGAACAGACGGCGCTCGTGTGGGTTGTCGAGGGTGACGCTGTTTCGCGGTGCCTGGCAGGCGGAGCTGGAGCGGCATTTGGTGTTCCGATCTCGTCGCGCCCCTTTGAAGCTTCGACGGCGGCCTTTTTCTGCTTCAGCGAGGCTAGGAGCTTCTCGCGCTGCAGTCGGAGCTTGGGGTCGAGCTTGAGAACCTTCGGAGGAGCGTCGGCTGGCGGCTGCGGTGAGGCGACGGCCAATGTGACGGGACTGGCGGCGGCGGCGGCATGATGGTCCTGAGCGCTGGCCACGGGGACCGGTGAGCGATCGCGAGTCGGCGACTCTGTTCGTGTCTGCGCCCGATCGTCTGGCGTGGCGGGCCCAGAAACGGAGGCGGAGGCGGGGGTCGACTCTGCCGGGCCGGGCGTGCCGGCATCGCTGGTGTTTTTCCTCCTTTCGAGCGCCCGGATCCGCTGCAGCAGCAGCTTGATGTCCTGCTCCTTCTTGAGCAGCTCGCCATTGGCCACGTCGACTTTCGGCGTCGAAGCCGCAGACTGGCTCCCCTCGCGGTTGGGCGGTGCGTTGGCGCTGAACGAAGCGGTGGTCGAAAGCGGGGGCCTCGCCGGCTGTGCCTGCGGCTGCAGTTGCGGCTGCGGCGTCGACGGGCCCGGAACTGGCAGGCCGCGATCAGTCAGGTACAGGGCGTGCATCGCCTCGGCCGTCTGTCGTCGAATAGAGGCCCTCGAAAGGGGCCGACTGCCATTGACAGGCAGCGCGACCTGGCCAGCCGAGGCGTCTCCCGTGTCCTCGCCGTTGTCGTCGTGGTCTTCGTCTCCGTCGTCGTCGGAGAGGTCGATGACGAGCCTCACCCGGAACGGCTGGCGTACGAACTGGGTGCGACGTGCCACTGAGTCGAAGGGGTACGACGCCAGAGCAGGCCCCTCAAAATCTGCCGCCACAGGCCGACGCCGCCTCTGGCCATTGGGCTGCATGTCTGCCCGGGGGCCAGACGGTTGCCAGAGCGGTACCCCAGGCGCATATCCGTAAGAGGGCGGCTGAGCGCCTGCGTCGGGTGCACCATAGCCCCAGTATGGCTGCTGCATCGCACCTTGCCCGTACTGCCCGTAGTCGCTGGGCGGCGGTGGTGGCGGCGGCGCCAGCGTCGGCAGAGGGGCATCCAGGTCGACTTCGCCAGCAGGGGTGTCGGGCCTGCGAGAGAAGGTGTCAGCGTAGGAGATTTGCTGCCTCCGTGCTGGCGTCGCAGCGTGCGGAGCAAAGCCAAGCTCGTCTATGGCGCCATTGGCAGGACGGTCGACGTCGCGATAGGCTCGAGGTTTGCTCGGACCGGCCCCGATCTGTTCCGACGGATCCGCCTCGGAGCTAGAAGTGTCGAGGGCCATGTCATCGCCTGACTCGTCGTGCTCGTCCGCCCGGCCGACGACGACGTCGGCGGATGGAGCGGGCACAGAGGCGTTCCCTGCCTCCTGCTCGGACTCGGCCTCGGGCTCCGGCGGCTCGTAGGGCGGGCTGGATCGATCGCCGCTGTCGCTGCTGAGCATGGCGTTCTGCTGCGCTTGCTGCAGCAGCTTGTTGACCGCCGCCATCCGGCCGTCGGGGTTCTGCTCGACCTCCTTTCGGACAGAGGCCGCCCTCGAGGCGATGACCTTCCGCCGCAGCGTCGCGAGGGCGGCCTGCCTCAGCTCCTGGGCACGGTCTGCTGCAGTGGTCTGCGAGTCCGGGCAGGGAGCACCGGCTGGGACGACGTCATCGACGCTGCCCGAGGTCCCTGACGGCGGCGGCGGTTGCACACATGGCGGGAGGGCGCCCTCCAAGACCTGATCGACTTGCCTTGGTGCTCCAGAAGCGTCGTCGCCGCCCTCAAAGGCGATGCCGAGCTCCGTGCAACAGGCGCGAACGATCTGGGCATTGACGCCTTCCTCGACCAGCTTGCTTGGTGACATGCCGCAGGCCGCCAGCTTGGCCACGAGCTCCAGCGCCTCTTGCCTCTCCTTGTCGGTCCCTGCAGGAACGGCGAAAAAAGTGCCGGATCGGACGTTGGGCGAGAGAGGTGTCAGCCGAGCCGCCACCATCCACAGATACCCTCAACGTGCATCCGAGGATGTACTTACAGATTCTCGGAGGCGCTTTGGGGCGAGACTCTCGCTGCATGCCGGGAACCTCGCGGCCTGTCGAATCTAACGGGCCCGCTTTGGGCGCCGATGGAGTTGATGGCCTCGCCGTCGCAGCAGCCTCGCCGGACCGTAGGGCGGACGTCTTGCGCTTCAGCAGCTTGGCCGGCGGCTCCGGAAGCGCATTGCGGGAAGAGGCAGAATCGCCGTAACCATCCATGCCGGTGGCCTTGCGCTTCAGTCTGGAATCCGGCGGAGGCGCCGGGTCCGGGCGACGATGCAGCTCTGGGTAGCCGGGTGCAGGAAGGTGTGACCGGTGCGCCCACGGATAGTAAGGCTCTGCGTGCGCAGACAGGTGCTGACGACTCGAGGACGGATACGGGCCCGCGGCTTCGGCGGGGTAGGGATAGTCAGAGGGCGCAGGCCGCTCCGGGTAGCCGTAGGCAGCGTCGTTGTACGCAGGGTGAGGCGGATGAGGAGGGTAGTAGGCGTGCTGTGGCTCGTGCCAGCCGTCGTAGACGCGGTCGTGCCGATGCCAGTCTTGGCGACCGTAGCCGGCCGAGTCGTACGAGCCCTCGTAGCCATCAGGCCCAGGATAGGGCTCCGCGTACCTCGACGAGGCGGGTGTGGGCCAGTCATAGTACCGGGCATCCGGGTCCATCGCTGTGAAGGCAGGGTCAGCCAGGCGGGCGTAAGTGCAGCGACGTCGGGCAGGGTGGAAAGCGGGCATGGGGTGAAGGGAAGGGGGGCGTCAGAGGATGGGCAACGAGTCGAGCGCGTCACGAACACGCGAGGCAGATAGCGAGGCCAGGACTCACCGGACTGGGGCGTGCTGGCGGCGTGAGACTCGTAGTGACTCCACTCGTTGGCATTCGGAGCGGGACGGGACGACGCCCGAGGCTCGCCGGACTGGCTGCGCTGACTGTGCGGACCGGCTTTGGGATCGCTCTTGCCTGGTCGAGGAGACGGGGTGCGGCGTGCAGGTCGAGGCGGGGATGAGAGCTCCCAGCCGGTCGATGGCTCCGGCTCAGGCTCGGCGTCGCCTTCGGAGACTTCGCCCTCCTCGGGCTCGCTGGTCGAAAGCTTGGCCGTGGCGGACGCAGACGGGCTGAGACGTGTCCCTGCGCCGAGCTCGCCTGCCGCTGACGGCTTGACGTCCTGGCCCTGGCGATTGGACTGCTGCGCCTGGGGGGAGGTCGTGCTGCGGCGCACCAGACCAGAGCCGACAGCAGCTGTTTCGATCTGATTCGGCTCAGAGGCATTGTTCGATCTTGGCGAGGCGACCTCTGAGGCAGAGTCGGATTCGAGCTCATCGATGCTCTCGTGGCTGCTGCTGTCGCTGCTGTCGCTGCCGTCCCTGACGGGGCTTGCGCTGCGTTCAGCGTCCCTGAGCCCCTTGTCGTCGTCGTCGGAGTCAGAATCGAGGGTGATGGGATTGGCCTCTGAAGTGCCGTAGTCGAGCTCGAGGGGCTCGGCAGCGGGCGCGGCGTCTGCGTCGCTGGGCCCGCGTCGGGCGTTGCCAGGGCGAGTCGTGTGTGACGGTGCGCCGCTGCGGCTGCCTTGTGCCTGAGATCTATGGGCGCGACTGCGCTGCGCCCGCTTTCTGGTGCTCTTTGGCGGCATGTCGAGCGTCGAGCGTGAGGCGTCGGTGAGTGGCTGGGTAGAGTCGTCAGAGGTGCGCGGCTTCGGGCCGGAGTCGGTTACCGTCCAGCTGGCATGGCAATGGGCGCGATGGCCAAGGAGGGCAGGGAGTGACGTAGCCAATGAATCGTCTGTGCGGGCAAAGGGGGCCAGCGTATGGCAAGCAGCGAGGGAGGGTGTCGTGAGATGGAGCCTGCTGCCTAGTCACCCAGGAGCTAGGCTGAGCTGGTTCTGGACTGCAGAAGCGGGTCGCAGAGAGAAGGAGCGGACGAGCCTCGAGAGCAGCGAGCGGAAGCTTGCCTGCGTGTATGCGAAGGAGCGACGACGAGGACGACAAAGGAGGAGGTGGCGGGGGGTAATGATGGTCGGTGGTGGTGTTGGCTGGGTGAGGGTAGGTGACGAGAACGACGACTCGGCGCGGCCCCTGGGCCTGTCCGTGTCGGTGTGCGCCTGCCTGCGCCTGCGCCTGTGCCAATTTTCGTTTTTGGCTCCCGGCGGCGGCGGCCGTCGTTCGGCAGGGCTCTCTCTCTCCCTCTCGCTCGCTCGCTTTCCTGCNCTCTCTCTCTCTCGTCTCGTC